AAGTAAGGGTACATTTAACTCTTTTTTGAATATATTTTAAATCTGTTTTCAATAGGGACAAAAATCTGCAGTGTGCTTGTTTGATTTTATATGTGCGTATTTGGGGGATAAAGAGTTTTCACGGGCAAGCTTTGAGGTAAGAATGTGTTGGAAAATGTGGAAAAAAATTGTGGAAAAACAAATCCCATTCAAGTTGGTTTTTCCTCAAGTGTACCCGATGAGGCACCTGAAGGACTTAAAAATTAAGGCAACTGAATTTGTAGTACTGCAAGTAATAACAATAAAAATAAAGTCATAAGAAATTACAAATGAGTCAATCACTACATAGTGCAAAGTGGTTGAGTGAATGAAACGCCATTATTACCTGTATTTGATTTTAAAAAATGTTTTTAAAGTAATAGTTTTTTTGAATTTTTACTGCACAACACTTACCACAATATTGTTTTAATCTTTTGCACGAAAATGCATCAAATAAAAAAAATCTAATCCTAAAACTAATAAAAACTAAATTAAAAAGAACATTTTCTAAAAAAAAATAAAAAAATAAAAGCCAACTAAACAAATATAAAAATAATCATTTTCTTAAAAAATTTAATAATATAATAATAAGAATAATAATAATAATATGACCAAAGGAATTAGATCTCATAACATTTAAAAAGACAAACTCAAAATGAAATAAAAAGGTAAAAAAGTATAAATTCCAAAATTATGAGACATAAACAACCACCCATGCACATGACAATGGAGGAAAGCCACACAAGCACAGGCAAGAACATGTCAACTCCACACAGAGATGTTACAACAGAGAATTAAAAGCAGATCTCCTTGACATTGAGGCGGACGTTTCAAACGCCTTCGTACGGTCAGAACACACAAACACAGTCAGGAGAAGGAAATATGGCGGTTTCAAACATGGCCTTGGACCTCATGGCCCTCAGCATTAAAGGGGAAAAAAAGTGACGGCAGATTAGCGCTGACTCTGCCGCCCCTGCAAGTTGCAGATGTTAAATTCATGACGACCAATGAAGCAGATCGTTATCACATCTAAAGATGAGAGGAAAAGCGCAGAGCAGATGTGCCCAAAGAGGCACCCGGGCGCAATAGAATACTTCTAGAATCGAGGCCAGAATGAAACTACAGCTCCATGTCAGTGCAAAAAAAAAAAAACAATCAACAACAAAATTTGGCGCCTGTGTTGCCATTGACAACACACAAATCAAAAGACGGCTCAGCTTTGACGTCTAATCCTTCGCAAATTGTACTGACAAATATACATTCGGAGATTACGTGGATTCCGCCTTGTAATCTTGAGTGTCATTTGGCAGTCACTGACGTTCATTGTTTCACTATTCATGTTGATCTAAGCACTGGTCCGGACCGGTGTACATGCACAAGTGGGAGTGTGCTTACGAATGTATGGGTGCACGCAGAGACTGGAAGGTCAGTGGGGAATTTCAGTGGGAAGGGTGGGGGGATGGGGCGATGGATGGAGGGATATGAGCGCAGTCTGGGGGGTGGTTTAGTGGGGCAACATGCACTCGATGCATAAGGAGAGGATATGGGGAGGAGCATTCAAAGCCGGAATTTTGCAAAGTTATTCATATATATAGTCACTCGTCGTTATTTCAAATGCAATTCAAGTGTAACAGTAAGGTTGGCTATTCAGCAACCCTCGTGAAAAAAAAAAGAAAAAAAATCACTCCATTGCCAAACTATGAATTTACTCTGTGTTTACAAGCCAAAGTCCCTCAGCACACACCTTTGCCCTGCACAGAAGATGCTGCACTTCGGTGCGCCCGCCTCCAACCAGAACGGATTCACGGCAAGCAACCACCAGAGAATGCCTTGGTGTACTGTAATACTTGACACATTTGCCGAGTTGTCAGATAAGCAAAACCGGCTCGGTTGGTGACATGATGAGGAAGCCGCGGCAGACAGCTGCGAGTCCACCCAAAGGCCACTCACCGGATCTGAGCGCCATGATGAGGATGTGCACGCAGGAAAGCCGACACTTTCTATTTCTACATGACGACACGATGGTAAAAACGGCAATGGTTTTCAGATTTGGTTTGTTTCTTGCAGCTATTGCAGTATGAGTAGGTGTCTGTCCCCTCCAAAAAAATATCCCAACAACTTAAGAGTTTTTTAGTTTTTTTTTTTTTTTTTTTGCAAACCCAAAAATATCTTTAATAAAAAGGTAAACACTCAATTCAATTTTCCATGAAAGGCGGTGGGCCAATGGGGAGAAAAACAATCTTTTTTTTTTTTTAATATGGAAGAAAATTCTGAAAAAAAATCTGCGATTATGGCATGGTGGCGAACGGTTAGCACATTGGCCTCACAGTGCAGAGGTGTGGAGTTTGCATTTTCTTCCCGGGCCTGTGTGGGTTTGCTCTGGGTACTCCAGTTTCCTCCCACGTTCCAAAAACATGCGTGGCAGGCTGAATGAACACTCTAAAATAAATTGTCCCTAAGTGTGAGTGTGAGCGTGGATGGTTGTTGGTCTGTGTTTGCCCTGCGATTGGCTGGCAACTGGTTCAAGGTGTAACCCGCCTACAGCCCGAAGACGGTCCGAATAGGCTCCAGCACACCCTTGACCCTCGAAAGAATTTAATTTGCCGTTCCATCTCTGGTCTACAATATTTTTCAAGAGACTTGAAAATAAGATCACCCAAAAATGTTTAAAAAAGTCTAACTGGATTTCTGAATCTGTGCCCGGTGCGCATGACAAGGTGAATTCAAACAAGTACCGGTAGTCTTAACTTTGCTGCTTGCGGGTCGGTGTTTGACAAGCAGGATCTGCGCTGGAGGTGTCATGCCAGATGTCACACATGACGTACTATAAAAGCTGTCTGGATATGGAATTTCCCAAACAGGAAACCACCCATGGAGCCAGTAACTGACTGAAAATGATTTTTGTGTGCACACAGTTGGAAACAGAGGAGCAGCGCTGTCTTCTCTGTCCCCGTGTTGGCTGTCACGCTACAATTCAACGGCAAAACCGATGTTAAATAACATGCTACGTTCGGTGTAAGCAAGCAAAGCGTGTCAACTCTGCTGCTACTTTTTTTTACGGTGAGAATGCCAATTAAAACATTTGGCCAGCATGGCTACGCAGATCAGGTCAGGCCGCGGCATTGTGTGTGGAGCTCGAGGCAAACAGGCAAGTGGGTAGAAATGGTGGGCATGCATGTTTGCATGTGAGGAGGTGCAAGATTTCCTCCTGAGCCATAATTAACCCAGACACAAAAGAACAGAGCTGTACGGGAAAACATGCAACGCGCAGCTTGGATTCAGCTTTGGCACCATTTCACGGCTTCTTCAGAAATATAGGCCACTGGCTCGACGTCAGAAAGGAAAGCGCAATTCCCTTTTGTTCATGTAGACGACACATCCAAGATGCTTGGTGAATGTCTTTACCGTGTATGCAGCGCAATCTGAGGTGATCATTTATACTCTACAAAAGTGAAATCACCTTTCAAAGACATAGAAAAGTATCTCAGAAAGATTCCAGGACTGGCATCACAAAAGAAAAGAGTTCGATTCAAAGGACAAACTATCCCCTTCAAAATAATCCCTCTGGAGTCCAAAACACTATTCTGTCATTCCTTCATGCTCTTGTGAAAGGATTCTTCCGGAATACAGCACAACTCCATCGTCACTTCTTCAAAAAGGGTCACCTTGATGACACTTTTGAACTTGGGGAAAGAGAGGGGGAAAAAAAAAAAACTCCAACAAAGCCGGATTTGGTGAGGAGGAAAGTTGCCCAAGAACACGTGTCAAACTCAAGGCCCGGGGGCCAGATCTTAGGAAGGTTGCCCTCGAATGTCAACATTCTTCTCGGCCAGGAACTATCAGATGTTCAGGGTAATGAGTCATGGTTAAGCAGCAACAAGTTGTGGCCCGCGAAAGCAAATCAAACATGTCAACTTCTATGATAATTGCTCAAATCTGTACCAAAACTTCAGTTTCGCATATGTAATAAATAAGAGAGATATTGTCGGCATTTTCTTGTTACCAAACCGCTCATGACACTAACTTAAACAATCACTGAATGAACCTTCAATTTATTCTTGACTTCTTTATATGTTTTCATAATCATGACAGCCCTCCGAGAGAAACAGTCACTACAGTATGGCCCGCGACAAAAATGAGTTTAACAGCCCTGCCCTAGAATGTCAATGTTCTTCTCGGCCAGGAACTATCAGATGCTCAGGGTAATGAGTCATGGTTAAGCAGCAACAAGTTGTCGTGCCACAATTCTCATCTCTTCTCACACACTGAACGAAAGCAAACGGCGTCGAGTAATTTTGTAGATGTGCGGGTTGCTCGTCTAGCCCACATGGAAGGCGAAAACTCGGAGTTTGTAGTTTGGGTTTGAAAGATATCTCTGGTGATTTCAATCCTGGTACTTTTCTGACACACACCGACTGAAATAGGAGGACATTAGCAAACTAATTATGTTCCTCAAACTGTCTATAATCGAAACTAATGTTCCACTTAAGGCTAATTATTGGTCTCCGGGTTAACAAATCGCACGTGTTGACATCCCAAAATGTCGCTCTCATGTCGGGGAAGTCAAGTGTTCAACTCAAGAGACAATGGCGGCCTTCTTTGTCTGTGTATTTTTATAATGTCTCGCTCACGGGTCAAGTCATGAATAACAATGAGATGTTTTCTGCGGAATAATTTAAAATGTTTCAGGAAACAACATGAATCTTATTTTTACTGGATGTTTCTGCCAGCTTTGAAAGACAACAAGGCATTTACCCGAAGCACGTGATGTTATGTTCACATTCTGGTGCGACTGTGATCATGCCACTATCGAGTTCACTTTGCAAGGCCTGATTTTTTTTTTTTTAATGCAGTTCTTGTATTGTGTGCGTATGTATTTTATGTTCTGACAGGTGAGCGTAAGTCAAGTTGTTGTGTTTCCATGCAATATTTGATCATAGTCAGTTCAACAAAGCTGCAACACGTCCGATATGGCGACTTACGGCAATTTTCTTCATCGCTATTGTCCGAGCAATCGTCGTCATCGTCACACCTCCACAAAGTGGGTATACACCTTTTGTTGTCACACTGAAACTGTCCATCCTCGCACTCCTCCGTCACTGTTGGGGGAGACGGCGGGGGGGAACACAACAAGAGGGGTTAGCAGAATAACAAACGAATATGTCTGCTGCTCCAACTGTCATTTGCAAATGAATGCCTAATTAACATACAGCACGCATTAAGGTCAATTAGCTGAGGCGAGCGCGGGGTGCATTATGTCCTAAATTTGTTGTGCGTGCGGGAGTAACACTAGTCCATAAACAAATTCGCAATTCGATATCATAAATAGGCCCAGAAACAAGATAGCCAGCGGACAAATGACGCGCACCAGCATCCTCGTGTGCTCAGGTTCATTCAGCATCCACGCACATCTCCTTTCATGTCCCCCCCACACACACACGCACACACACTGACCTTCTGAGGTGAGAAGCCTCGGTACGGCCATGTAAAAAAGTAACAATATCCTCACGTCCATCCTCATTTCCGGAAGAGGCGATGCGTCTCATTCACGTCCACCAGACAAAGCCCGTAAAGGAAAAGAAAAATTGCTCTTCTCGTAGCGAGGACGTCTCCGCCGTTGTAAAAAAAAAAAAATCCCACACGCCACCACAATCACAACCTCCAAGCATCCACTCCGACCCCTCCCTCCTTGACGCCCACTCACATCATCACCTCCAAACTCATTGGCCGCCCACGGCACGACACCACAAAGGGGCGGGGACTGGAATACAATAGAATAGAATGCAGTCTTACTTTTACTTACGAAATTAATTGGTTCTGGAAGAAATTTCTGAACTAGAAAATATTTTAAGCAGAGACGCGTTTTCAATGTAAATGCCCTAATCCCTTCCAAGCCCCTCCCCCTAAAATTCAGACAAATGTTTTCTAAAATGCATCAAAATATGTAACAAATACATGTTACAATTAGATCATTGCACAATAAATGAGAGTTGTGCATAATGTAAAAAAACAAATAAAGTAAAGAATAAAAATAATGGTCATGTGTCCTCATCCTTTTTTTTTTTGCCCTCTTTTTCCTCTCTCAGTAATGGTTTTTGCCTGGCGGTTTGTAAAGAACTGATCCGAGGAAGTTTGCTTTTGTCGGCTTTTAACAATCCTTGGAAAATGTCCAAGGCAAACATCAGCATAATGAGTGATCGCTGGACTGGTGAAGACTATCTGGGTGATTCACATTTAATGTCCTTGGGTGTCTTGAAAGGCGCTTATAAATAAAATGTATTTTTATTATTATTATTATTACGTAAAACTATCCGAACGCCTCTTGGCCATTGGAGCGAAAGACGAGGACGCTGCATCGGCATATATTTTTCCATCTACACACGAGACACGTTCTCTCTTAGCCAATGGGATGCAAGGATGATGCTCGGTAATAGCCAATGGTAGTGCAGCTCTAAGTATGTTGCATTCAGGAAACTCGGAGCTGCGAGAAGCAGCCCGTACTGTATTTTTACCTTTCGTATCTTGAAATTTCTATTCGGATTGCAATATTTTCCCGTTGAGACATTTCGTAACTTGAAAATTTGAAAAGTATGAAGTGACGTTCGTAAGTCGAGGTAACACTGTAGAATAGAATAATGCGGAAAGCAAAATGCTCGACACTCTGGTTACAAAAATTACACTGAAAAAAATGGGTCTAATTTATCCATTCATTCATTTTTTAATCTGCTTATCCTCAGGAGGGTTGCGGGTGTGCTGGAGCCTATCCCAGCTGCCATCGGGGTACACCCTCATTTGGTTGCCAGCCAATCGCAAGGCACACAGACGAACAATCATTCGCTCACACCTGAGGACAATTAAGAGTACCCGGAGAACACCCACGCAGGATCAGGGAGAACATGCAAACTCCACACAGAAAGGCTGGAGCCGGAATCGACCGTGCTATCCTGTAGAATCCACTCCATTTGACTTCATCCAATGGCTGCCCAAAATAAAATCATCTAGATCCAAATAAATATTTTCAAATAGATATTACATCTACAAGATGATTTTATTTCATGCAACCACTAGACGAAATAAAATGGAGTAAATTCAACAAGAACTTTTTTCACAGAGGATGGTGAAATGCGAAAACGAGAGCTTTTAACAGCTTTAGAGGTGAATATAGACCTTAATTCATGACAACTTAACCATTTTGGGTTCTGTGAGAAATATAGACAATGACATAATTAGAGAAAAAAAATAACACATAAAAACAGGCCCCCTACGATTTACGATCCTCTCACCAACGCCTGAACTTTATTGGCTGTCAAAGGAGTTGTTTGTCCAAATGCACGCATGCGGATTTGTATGTTGCAGTTGACATGGGGATTAGTCGTCGTTGAGCTTTTCGCCATTAAAATAAGTGATTATGCTGTGGCCTACATTTCAAAGACTTGTTGAAGCAAGCTTGGAAGTCACCGGACCTTGAAAATACAACCGGGTGCACATTCATCTGCACTTAAGTATCACCTAATTGTACAAAGAGGGAGCAAGAAGGCCTCCGTTTTGTTCATGGACGACGAACAAGGGTCCTTTTCCAGTTCACGCTCCTGCTCGAAACCATATTCCCCGTGCTTCTCCTTCACATTATTTGCATATAAATGAGAAACATCACATTATTGCTGAGGGTATGTATTAATAAAAGAGTTGTTGAACACGGTGAGGTATCGCACAGGAGTCATGAGCTGAATACTCAGACAAAGCAAAGCAGGCCTTTTTCTTGCTTTTTTTTTTTTTCATCCGCTATTCAAATCTATCATATCGTCCAGCAGTCCTCCAGGAACTTTCATCGTGATTTTACAAATTCTCCACAAACCTGAGCACAAAAGCGCCACAGGGATACAAAATTGCTTGACCTTCTGATCCTCTCTTATCCGCTCACACTGGTCCGCCGTGCTTTGAAACTAAATTCAGCCAGCTCAGCAGGTGTGCCATGGACAAGTCGAGCGCGACTGCATTGCTTTCTCGCTGCCTGGACTGGTTGTGCTTCGTAGCATTACAATTTCAGAAGAAATCTGTGTCCTCACCTGTAGCTAGTTGTCCCAAGAAGTGATTCCTGATTTCAGTTGAAAGTGGAGACATGGGCGGAGCTACATGGTCACTCCCTGGAGAACATTGATCCTCCTCCAATTTTGCTTCACCAAATTCACAATTATTCTGAACACAACTGCAAAAAAAAAAAAAAAAAAATCCATCTCGAACAAAGAATGCTTGATAATTGTTTTATTTATTTATTTATTTATTCATTCATTTATTTATTCATTTATTTATTCATTCATTCATTCCTTCATTCATTCGGGTAACATCAATCTAAATTATTACTTCCAAATCATTGTACGCAAAGGATGTGTTTGTGTACTATGTCATTGTTTATCATACCTTCCACAGTCATGGTTTCATGAAATAAAATGCACATACTGTATATAACAATCATGGAAGTGATGATGACCACTTCAATGCTTCATTTTCAAGGTCTAGTCGTTCATGGACTCTGGGATTTTTATTATTGATTTTAAATTATTTTCAATACGGGGCCCAAATGATATTTATTAAAGGAGATGCAAATCCCTGTTCAAACTTAACCACCTGCACCCTTTGTGATAATGACAACCAGGCCGGGTCTAGGTAGGGGCAAGAGAGGGCCTGGACGCCTCAAATAAATGTTGCCCCCTTCCCCAAACTAAATCCCCCAAAATAAATTATATGTCACATATTTTTATTCTCTCAAGCCTCTCTCCTCCGCTCCAGTTCTTATTGTCTTATCATCTTGCTTGCCCCCTAAAATATAAAGTACTGTATATCAAGTTGTGCCAACTTCCAATCACCCTTGAGTATGCAAATGAGCCAGCGTCAAGTTTCTAATTGCAGTTTGCGGCAGTAAACTCCACTGTGCACTTTGCGTAAGGCTTCTTGAATAAAATGAAATTAAATGAAGCCTTTGTTTGTCGAATTCATCGTCTTTTTCCGGTGGTTGGACCCTCTTACATGTGTTAGTTGTACAGTGACGAATTGCCACATTGGGGCTTCCTGCACGCTCCTCTGCTGCCCTCTGCTGCTTGTAATTGCAATATACACTCTGCCATATTTTACGCTCTCAAACTGGAGCTTTAACCCTCTACCAAAAACTGTACAATATTCTATGCGGTGAAATTTGAGTCCCGTCTGTCTAATTTCGTTCAAATCCTTTTAGAATGTGTGTCAGATACATTATGTGTCGGCAATATAAAGACGAACGGATCTAACAGCACTGTATTGTATCATCATACTGTAATACCCTTCAATGTGGACAGAAGGATGCACGCAGTCGCTGCATCAAAATTTCAAAATCCCATTTGTAATAAATAAGAGTGATACTTTAAGCATTTTCTTTTTTCCAAACCCCTTATGACAGTAACGTAAACAATGGATGAATAAACTGTTATTCTTGACTTCTGTATATGGTTTCAGTCATAGCGGCCCTCCAAATGAAACAAACTAAAATGTGGCCCGTGACAAAAATGAGTTTGACACCCCTGTCTTACAGTGTACAATCAGGGAGTTGTTCAATTGAAGTGAATTGGTGAGAAAGTGCCTGTAATATCTGTCAATATCTGTCAAATTAAACATTTGTGAATCTGATACAGATTTTCTGCCAAAATGACAGGAACGAATCATTTGACAAGAAACAAAGTAAACACAAACGCACTCCACAGTCTACCTAGAAGAATGCAACCTGTTGTACATGCAAAGAAGAGACCGACTTCTCATTTCCCACTGCTTTTCCTCATCAAGTTTTCTTGCCATGAATACGCTCATGTTTACGTGAGCACCGTCCTGATGACAAGTGGCATTCACTTGATCCAAACCGTGCAGTCCAGCTGTGTGAGTGTGATGCCATTCTTCACAGATCACAAAAATGGCATTATTGTGCCCTGCTGACATCATCCAGTACACACACACACACAAGCCACCTTCGGCAACACAGTCAGTGTGCTCATCAGTCAGCGTCCTGCTCATGTGTGGGGTCATTGTGCAGCAAATCTTCAAACTATGATCTAACCCCATATTTGTGACCTGTCTTTTTTTACCCGGACATTGTCTGCCAGGGACCGGGAGAAACAACATGACGCGTGGGGGGCTCGTCACCCGCTAAGAGCAGGATGGTCTCGGTGATGACGGAGGCTCTTGCCACCGTGTCACTGTAACCGTTTCTCTCCTTGCTTTGCTTTCGCTGCTGAAAGAACTGAAAATTCACCGAGCAGCTATTTTGAGTTTCATCTGTCGGCCAATCGGGAAGAATTTACTGAAGATGTTGTCACAGCAGCTGAAATGGTTCCTCTCGGGGATCATTTCCAATCAAGACCAAACAAGCCTCTGAGCAAATATTGTAGAATGGAATGCAGATGGACGGACGGTGACACGTGACCCTCATCTTTCAAAGTGACTCACTAAATGGAGGTAAATAACGCTTCCTGTCAGATGTTGATGTTCAGGATCAAATTGGTTGTTTTATTTTTGATTCCTTCAGCAACATTTGTGCAGTTTTGCAATCTATTGGAGTTGGTCAAACCGTTTCTTGACTTGCTTTGGTTCCATTGCCGCAAGAACTCAAAATTCATCAAACACCTATTTTGAGTTTCATCTGCCAACCAAATTGAAGCACAACGATTCCTTGGTGTTGAATGAGCCATACGATCGCAGGGAGATCGTTTACAATCAGGACCGAACTAGCCTCTGGACAGTGTCGCAGGATGGGATGCGGAAATGTTCAACTGCTTTCGATTTCTTCCACTACCTGAACTCTGGGCCCTGGATGGGTGTCAGGCGCCGGCGCCATGCCCGAAATGCAGGTCTTCTACCAGCCTCGTCACACTTTTCATCAGCCTCCAAGCCGCTACCTGGACCTACTCCAACGGCGGTCCCTAGAAGACCAGATTGAGCTGTGGTGGTTCCGAGAGCCGCGTCAGTCCCTCGTCTGCTACTGTGCTTCGGTTGCCCTCATTATCGGTTTGGGCCTGGGCGGCGTCGGCTTCCTCTCGACCACCAGCTCCGGAAAGTCCAGCGAGTGGCGTCTCGTGGTGGGCACCACGCTGTGCCTCCTCTCGCTAGCAGTTCTGCTCAAGCAGCTTCTCAGCTCTGCCATCCAGGACATGAACTGCGTGCACAGCCGGCGCCGAATCGACCAGCTGAAGAGCGGCGGACGGGCTGACCCGGCGCTCATCCTGGTTGTGGGTCTGGCAGTGATGCTGTGCGGGACGGTTTTACTGTGCGTGGACACAGTCAGCAGCGGGGGCGATGACAGCGATGATATGTTGGTGTCCGGTCTGGTGCTGATGGCCGTAGGACTTGGCATGACTCTGGCTGTGGTGGGATACGGCGTGCTGGTCTACCTGAAGAGAAGAAGGGAGCACGCCAGGAGGAGAAGAGCTATTGGCGCAAGGAGGCTGGGAAGGGGGTCTGCCAGTGTTTTTCGTGTCTCAGGAGGATCGATGACCCAGGCCGGGAGGGAGACAAGCCTGATCTGAGATTGTCAAAGCAACTATGTGCTGTAGAGTGGACCTTGGTATCGAAACACGGTTGTTTCTCCTTCAGCTTGTTCTCACTTTGAAATAATTTTCCAAAGTGATCCCCCCCCCAGCCCCAACCCCACCCCACCTACGCAGCGGTTTACATTCCAGACCACCCCCGCAATTAAATTGTGATATCGAAATACCCAATTTAAATACCCCCTAACATTTATGGCACCCTCGGAGGGCCGTTGAAAAACATTTTTAATTGTCGCATCGCATTATTATTTGTACAGAACAAACTTACTAGGATTACTAATTTGTAAATCAGTCAACTATAATAGTTTGTTCAATTATAGTTCAAGTGAGTGCAAACAGGACAACACAATTATTGCAAAGTGCCATTTCTTATTCATGACACATGACAATTTGACATTTCGGTGCACATTTTAGCAAGGATCATGCAAGTTGAGACACATGATTTGCTTTCACGGGCCACATAAAATGACATGGCGGGCCAGATCTGGCCGCCGGGCCTTCAGTTTAACACCTGTGTTTCAAGATCTTCAAAAACACTTCAAACACATTTAAATACAACATGCTGAGAAATAGCAAGAGCAATCGATAACACTAAAATACTAGACCGCTTGTGTTGGCAGTGAAGAAATCACATTTTTCCGAACTAACAAATTTATCAACTCAACATATACATTAGTTATCATGCCCAAAGCTGTATATTTTCAAATTAATAAACAGCCGTCGCTTTTTGTAGGCATAAAAAGCAGGATTGGAGATGACTGACATTCTATTATCTTCATTAAAAACAGAGCTGAAAGTACTTCCTGTTTTCATTGGTATTCATTTTGAATTTACACCTTTTCAAACTACATCACCTTTCGCGGGGGCTTCTGGTCACCATTAATTATTACTGTCGGAGCAAACTGTATGAACGTTTCTACATGCACCACACAAGTGCAGAATTTTTTTTGCCTGCACCTTCGTCAAATCCACCAAAATCAGGTGACACCACCTGCGCCACAACTTAGACCTACTTTCTGTCATCAAATGGTCAGGCTTGCCAGAGGTGTGTCATCGAAAACTCAGAACTGCTCATAAACATGCCAAATTCCCAAACCTCGACTTGCCGTGGCATGAAAATGATGTGTTTGTTTTTATGCCTAGCCCACATGTGCCCATCGACGAAAACAGAGCCCCTGCATTCTATTTTGGTTTGAAACAGTGAAAAAGCAAAGACATGTTAACAAATAGCAAAAGCAAAATAAAATGTTATTCATTAACACTTCTGCCTTATGGGCACGGCTTAGAAAGGTTGACGTTATGGCATATCCTGCAACCTTTGCCCACTAAGAGTTGTTCTTCCAGAAGGTAAAACGGTGGAAGAAGAAAAACAAGACTCTTAAAAACTAAAACAGGGAACTTTAAATATCCACACAAAAAATCACTACTTGGTAAGTCACCGTTACTTGGTTCTATTTGTTTGCACTTTTGTCTGTTTATGTTTGTGGTTAGGACAGCAGTATTACTAACTTGGTTGATTTGGGTCAGATGGATGTTTAACATTCACCTGCAGGTACCTTTTACCTTTGTTACAGTACATATTTTACCGTGATAAGTTTCATTCTTTACATGATAAGTTCACAGTTTTCACATGTTGAAGTTTCACATTTTAAAACGAATGTCATGAAGATGTGATAAGTCATCATTCCATAAAAACGGGATATTTTTCACATTAAGAGGAACTTCCGAGGAAATAACCTCCGGCCTCTTTCTCCACAATTCCTGCATGTGGCTATTTACTGTTTAACCCTTTCAGGGACAGCGGTGACGACAGTGGACAGCCAATCATGTTATCAGGTTGAAGGTTATCATAATTGACGCAGGAAAGGGGTTAAAAAAAATTCTTTCCATTCAAGTCACTGGCGGAGTACTTTTTGTGCCTTATAAATCAAAGTTACAAGCTATGAAACGATGCTACTCTTCAATAAGACTGTAAAAAAAAAAAAAAAAACAGTCATGTGATGAAAAGACATAAGATGTAAAAAGCCGCTCATGGGGGTCTGCCAGCTGTGACCTGTAGCCGGGAAAAAAATGCTGCATTTTGTTTTGCTCAGGAATAAAAGGCTAAACTATGAAAGACATATTCGAGTGTGGGATTAAGGAAGTGGAATGAGATACCTTCAAATAGGGGTGTGCAACTTCAAAGCTGGAGGGGGGCCAGAATTGTTCATCATTACATCATTCAAGAAGAAGAATCCATCCTGTAAACCGTATTCACGTGATAACTTATCCTGTTAAAAAGTTATTACGTGATATTGATATCATACTTAACATTGAAGCAATATGCTTCCACTAAAAACAACCTGAAATCAGGGATAGCTCCAGGATTTTTTTTTTTCTCTCATGGGGCTAAATGGGAGTTTGACCAATACAGAGATACTTATTTATAAATATATTTTATATGACTAAATAAAATGCTGGAGGGGCTGAACTGGGGCTAAACAGATTTCTGATGAGGCTGGAGCCCCAACTTGCGCCAGTGTAGCGCCATCTGTCTCAGAAACTTCAATTTCCAATTTGTGGCTATCAGAGTTGCTTTGGTTTCTCACTGGACAGCATTTCCGAAAAATCCAAGAGGCGTTATGAAAGAGGAAAGGCACTTGTATTATCCTCAGTCCCAAAAAAAAAAAATTTTTTTTGTCTGATTAGGTTTCCTCGCAGGCTGGAGAAATGTTCCAGTGGCTCTGCAGCATCATTGTGGCCCTCTCCTTTTGTGAAACACTGATCAGAAAAGCACATTGCGGGACCGTATACAAAGCCGAGGGTCCCGCTCAAAGACGCCTTCTGACGGAGGCTGACCATCCCGCCAACAATAACGCCACTGACACTCGAGGTGAGTCAACCCACATTTTTACAAGACGTGTTCCAGAACTTTGAGCTCGAGCAGCACATTTACAAGAATCCTGTTTACGACGCTCATGAAATCCTCCATGCGTTTATTGTTTTACCTCACACATTTTTTTTTTCTCTCCTATTACCTTCTTAGGTCTCACGAATGAAGACAACACCCCAAATTCGACGCATTGGTATCTGGCCGCTGGACTGGGCACGGCCATTGCCGCCTCGCTTGTCATTGTCATGGCGGTCAAGTTGCGTGTCTTTCATCGTTTCCTAGCCAGCTACAGGCACTCCTTGCTCCGGGAGGCTGATGGGGTCAGCCAGTACGGCCAAGAGGAGGTATCATTCCCAAGCAGCGTGTCAGGTCGAGTAGGAGCGGTCAGAGGGACCCTCGGCACATTGGAGGATGATGACGACGGCTTCATTGAAGATAACTACATCCAAACCGGACAGAAAGAACGGGCTGAGAGAGAAGGAGAAGAGGACGAGGAGGAGTATGGAATAGAGGACAGTGATGATGATCTGCAGTTCACAATAGGGTGAGACTGTAGATGAGTACGGTGGGTGCTTTAATGCTTTTTTTTTTTGCTTTTTTTTTAAATCACTAGACAGTTTCAAAAACACCCAACAACCTTTCGATAAATATGATTGTGTGTCTGTATCTGTGTATTGTTTTTTTTTGTCACTCAACATCTGATATGCAGCGTTGTCCAAAAGGCAATAAAACTTCCTCCCAGTTTGGGAAAGGAGTGGTTGATTCACCAAGAAAGAACGAACGGGACCGTAAACTCCATCCATCCATTTTCTGATCCGCTTTATCCTCACAAGGGTCGCGGGTGGAGCTGGATCCCAGCTGGCTTGGCAGTAGCCAGGGGACACCCTGAACCGGTTGCCAGCCAATCGCAGGGCACACAGAGACGAACAACCATCTGGGCTCACACTCCCACATAGGGACGATTTAGAGTGTTCCATGAACCTGCCATGCATGTTTTTGGAATGTGGGAGGAAACCGGAGTACCCGGAGAAAACCCACGCAGAGAGAACATGTAGTATGGCACATTGCATGCAAATATACAAATTGTGACTTCTGTCAAGATATATTGACCTAAATGCCCCCCCACCCCACCCAATCGCTTCTACAGAGAGCGACTCCACAGGGAAGTACCAATTACCCATACAAGTGCCACCATATAATAGAGAACCCTTCCGCGTAACATTTTTTGTTTTCGTTCTGGCCACAGCTTGACTGTTGAAAAATCGATTTTTGGGGGCCTTCAAAGTCATGAATTGCTTTTTCAAGGGAATTTTTGAGAAATGTGAACCAATACGAGGCGTGTCGTTAAAAGCTGCGATCACGCAACACCTTTGTGAATGTAAATACAAAGGTGCAAAACGGTTCTGCATCTGATGAACACAAAGGCACCATGCAGAGTGATTGGAGGAGTGGACATGATCCAAAGTATACCACATCATGTGTCAAACATTGTGTTGTGACATGGCGGTGTATCGCTGTCGATTGAAATTGTCACGCTGGTGTTGACATCTTCATTGTTTTATTTCAAATCCATTACCCTGGTGGACAAATGGAAATATCACAATAACTGTCCAAATACTTCTGGAACGAACAAAATACAAATGCACCATCTAATACACATGCGTCAGTGAACGAAGGTAGCAAAGGGTCTTTGGTTTTGAGAAATCCTGTCCAGAATTTATTCGTAACGGAGCTTGATGAGCAAATATATAACATGACAGAGAAGGGAGTGCATGCGTGTTCTTGCCCGTCTATTCACCACTTCTCAATCAACATTGCTCTTTTAATATCACCACTACAATCTAATAGAATCCAATACACAAACGGTATTGAAAGGAAAAAAAAAGCCTTTACAAAGATAACAGGAAACGAGTACATTGGATTGTCCCGAACATCCGTAAATTGCCTATGATGCAGGCACAACGTGTACAATACATGCACCAGAAAAGTCATTTGCGCATTTCCCACAGAGACATGAATGGCTACGACCAAAACACAATTACGGAATAAACTGGACATGAGAAACACACTGGCGTGGTTACCTCCGGTTAATCCATGTTGGGGCCACCTTGGTGAAGAGAAGACAAACAAGCGCAGGCCCTCCGCTAATTACAAGAATCTTCAGTGTCACAGTGAGCTAATCATTTAATGAAAATAAAGAAATGCAGATAGACAATAGAGGCTTGAGTTGTTGCAACTGGGGTTCGAGTTGACTCGAGTCACTGATTTGATGCCTTGTGACTTGACAAAAAACAAAAACTTTTGAGATCAGACTTGGACTTCGGTGCTCAGGATGTTATGCGAACATACAGGTTACATCAGGGGTGTCAAACTCATCTTTGTAGTGGGCCACATTGTAGTTACGGTTTTCCTGAGAGGGCCATGATGTCTGTGAATTTTGTGAAACCGTTTAAATGTTGGATCACCTCCACATATTACATATGCAGTGCACAACAAATTGGTGGATAACTAGTTTTGAAATCAGAAGGCAAGAATAATGGTGAGTTCAGCCATTGTTTACGTTAATGTACTAAGTACGTAATGAGATAATGCTTACAAGATCTCTATGTAATGATGACAATTAAAAATTTGCTCATGGAAAAGTTGACATGCTTGATTTGCTCTCGCGGGCCACACAAAATGTTATGGCGGGCCAGATCTGGCCCCCGGGCCTTGACTTTGACACCTGTGGGTTACATGAATTGGCTAATACTACAGTAATAATGAAATTAAAATTCTAATCAGAGATGGCTTCATGTCTTACCCTGCACACCCCACTGAAGAATATTTGGCTAGGCACCGGCATATTATTGTTATTATTATGAAAAGCTGACATGCTCGAGAAAAAATTTAGGCAGATTTGGAATCAGTGCAAAAAAAAAAAAAAAATCTGGAACAGTTTACTTGCATTTCAGATTTTTTTTAAATTGCAAAAATATGTGACTTTTTTGGTCTTCTTTCTTTATGAAGACCAGATATTGCATCTACTTTAACTTATCACTGGTTTGACTTGAGATGACTTGACTTGGCTGAGAGTAACCGACTTGGGAGTTGCTTGAGCAGCCGGCGAAATGTACACATGATATTTGAAGAATTTAAGTATGAACCCGTGTAGCATCACTGGTCTGGCATCTCTTGAATTGGATCCCATAAGACTGTACAGGGGTACCTAACGAGCTGGCTGCAAAACTAAAGATTGAACGAAATCCTCCTCCTTGTTCCTATCCTCCTTTATTCAGACCGTCCCACTAAAATTGCTTTATGAGGGACTTTCCACTCTTACGCCTGTCACAGTTGATGTGAAACACCTCTGGAACAGACGCTCTGGGTCTTGGGGCTGGTTATCAGAATGCAACTTCCTGCTCATGAAGTGCTTTCGGAATCCCTGCGGACCTGAGGCGCACATCGCTCCGGTGAGGCTGGATCCCTCCTGGGGGTCACCTGCTGCAAACCACAAAGATTTAAGAAAGAAAATAAGCAACTAACTAACTAACTAAATAAATAAATAAGCCTTTAAAAAAAAAAATGAATGAGGACCCTGGACACGAACTTACCTGGTGCTCGTAAGGGTATGTTGTTGTCACGCCGGCTTGGTTTGGTGGTGATAAAGAGGTAGCAAAGCACACATACTGTAATGAGGAAGGCGAGAAGGACCACCGCTGCAAAAGACAGGCCAACAAGAGCCCAAATACTGAGAGGAGAGGAAAGGATGTGTGATAGCAAGGAAAACACACTGTACATTGGTCCACTGTGCGATAATTACTTGAAATATGTTTTGATGACATAGAACAGACAACGTGAGGAGGTGGATCGGGGGAATGGACCACAATTTTGAATCATGTTTTAACAGTGATTTTGTCATTTAATGACATCGCGGTAATTTTCTATAACCACGTTGCACTTATATGACACGACTTTTTAAGAATTGGAAGAAAATAACATTAACGAGGATTAGTTATCTATACAGTGATCCCTCGCTACTTTGCGGTTCAATTATCGCGGTTCCAGTGATCGAGGGTTTTTCAAAAGTAGTCATCAAAAAAAATAAAAAATAGCGAAAATGACAAATTTTTGCTGCGAGAGGCAGCAAAAGTCAGCAAAACAACAGTGAATCACATAGAGCAACATATACAGTACTACATGGAAATTTCAGGTTTATGTTTACTGTATTTTGTTATTTATACACTAACCTCTTATATATATATATATAGCATTAAGTAATGTTAAATTACGACAACATTTACTTTTACATTCATGTATACCATTAAATTTGGCCTTATAAATATTATATATACTCATACACATGTACATATAACTGTACAGGGGGGTACCTACTTCGCGGATTTTCCTCTTTCGGGGTCGGTCTCTGTCCCCATTAACTGCGATAAGTGAGGGATCACTGTATAACAAAATCTGCGAAGAAGACAACGACTTTCGAAGACTTACCTCAGCCACCACATGTAAGCATAGTCGTGCGGGTAAAAGCTGTTGGGATCGTCACAGCAGTACTTCAAGTCGTTAAATCCACAACAGAAACGGGCGGCGACATTGCCCGCTTTGGGGCAGGAGAAAGCGGCGACAAACACGCCGTCCGCGCTCAGGTAGTCGCTGCACTCGGCGCTCATGCTGAGACGCCGAAGCAAGCAAGCGCCACTTGCGCGTTCCACAGGTGGACTTTCTGTGGATGCACGAAGAGATGCTCGCTGTTCGTGACCAATGACATGGGAGGGGAGGAAGCGCTGTCGCGCTCCCCCTCTCTCGCTCGCTCCTTTACTTCTTTCTCTCTCTGTCTCCCCCTCCTATACGTACAGGGGTGGTCCTCGGTTTACGACTGAGTTCCGCTACTTTGCGTGTAAATTGTAATGCATAGTAGTGGTTTTGCCGTTGAAAGGGACCGTCGACTGGGCTGAATATTGCCACTTGTGATGTCAGCAACAAAATTCCCCCTTTTGAAATAATCAGTTGCCATTTCAGGTTTTTTTTTTTCGACTGGTTAGGACGCCCGCCTCACAGATGCCGAGGTACAGGGTTCGATCCCGTCTGCGGCCTTCCTGAATGGAGTTTCCATGTTCTCCCCGTGTCTGTGTGGGTTCTCTACGGGTAGTGCGGTTTCCTCCCTCATTCCAAATAATAATAATAATGTAAGTTGAGGGGTTCGTTGTTTTTAGTGGATAGCTCTTCTTTACGAATGACAAAAGGAGTGAGAGATAAAATCCTTTCATGCAGTTTATTAAAAAAAGGGGGGGGGGGGAGACGTCTACACCACAGCACGTTCGAGAACACAACTCTCGTAACTAAAAAAATCACTTCCTGCTTCTCTTACTTCAACAGCCAATCAGAAACTATCAACATAAAAACATGTCGAAACAATTATTAAACAACAGAATATAATTTAGGTACGCTTAACATGAAATAATATGATGCTCAAACATAAAATGATAATTAATAATATAACATAAGCTTACAATAATAATACATTTTATTTATAAGCGCCTTTCAAAACACTCAAGGACACCTTACAATCAAACAAGAGCAATAAAACCACAGATAAAATTATAAATAATAAAAGAAGCGATGAGTTTAAACTGAGTATGCAATTTTAAATAGGTGGGTTTGAGATGAGTTTTGAATGTGGAAAGAGAGTCAATATTACGGATGTCGGGTGGGAGTGAGTTCCAGAGTTTGCAAAAACATGCAGGGCAGGTGAATGGAACACTCAAAATTCTCCCTTGGTGTGAATGTGAGCGCGAATAGTTGTTCGTCAATGCGATTGGCTAAGAACCAGTTCAGAGTGTACCGTCCCAGCGTACTCCCCGAAGACAGCTGGGACAGGCTCCAGCACGCACGCGACCCTTGTGAAGATAAACAGATTAGAAAATGGATGGATGGACTGCTTGTTGCACATCTCAGACTACATAGAAGGAAGCAGAGAAGCATTTTAATGTTTACTGACTTGCTTTGTCACGTTCTGTGGTCACCTACTGCAGTGTTTCCCATCCTGGGGTACATGAGCGCATTGCTGGAAACATTTTAAAATGTATTGCCCAGATGTGTGCCACAACCATGCTAAAATCACAACAGCGGTATGCCATCTCAAGTGTCTCCTTAAAGCTCAGATGACTGATAAAAAGAAAGTACAACTGCTGTAGCGTGTCTGAATCGGATGGAGAACACCAACTATATCTTACCATTGTTGGTATTGTTACCTTCCATACCTGCCTCTAACACTGACAATATTTAAATCCAGGCTTTAAACGGTTCCAGTCAGATGGGCATTTTACAACTGAAAGAGTTCTCGCGTGCAATTGAATATCTTGTGGTTCACAGTGAATGAACTTTGGCTGTTGAACATGTCTGGCCTTGAAAATGAATGAAGAGAACACCAGGCCGAACTGCTCGCTCTAATCCCAGATTATCTCGGAGTCCAATCCAGAACAGGGGAAAAAAATTGGCATAAGAAAGGGGATTATTTGATCGCGGTTGGGGGCTGTAACCAACAAACTGCTTGTTCATAGACTCACACACGATCACACAAGTTTGCCTCGGATGCAAGTCAAGATTTAAAGACACACATATATTAGAACATAATCCACCGGTATTTTTTTTTAAATTGACTGCAATTCCAATCTTGCAGTTTCTCTGACACCACAGTCGATCAGAAGCGCAGGCGTCTTCTTTTAAGTGTCATTGGCTGCCTTTGCTTCTGTGACCGCCTTCAGAGAATCAAGTGTGTCGTGCATGCATTGTGGCCTCATGCATTTTAGACCCCAGGCAGAGATTACCCAGCAGCACATGCGGATGTGACATCTGGGATTACAATTAGAGTAATATCATCCGTCATGGGAAAGCCTGTTACGCTGTTATGGATGGAAATTAAATGCGATGTTCGCTTTGTGCATGTGTTTGGCGTCATCCCTGTAATTTCGCTTCCTTTTTTTTTCTTGCATCTGTTTTCCTTCTCTCATATATCATTGATGATAAAGAATATATGCATGTGAGCATTATTACGTTGTCTCTCTGCCTGTGTTGATGCACCGTACTTGTTCAAATATGCGTTGCTTAAAGGGACTGTCAGACCGTGATGACCGAAGCGATTCATAAGGCCGTCTACGGCGTTTTTGCATCATGTGTTAGCATTAAGTTAGCGGAAGGCAACATTCAGGGGTTGTTTTATTTACACAACGTGTCTTTAATGAGCACCGTAATCATTCGGATAAACCCAAATATTTTCACAGCAACAATAAATTGGTCTCACTGTTCCACTCCTTTTGAAGGGTAGGGTAAATCATCTCAATTTCTGCTTGTTCTTGTTTTCACAAACTCAACCCATTTCCCCAGTTTGCCATCAATAGAGCATATGCCAAGAACACACGGCTGTCCTTCCATCTAATTTGTTCCTTACAAATTGTCTTTCAGTGGAGCTCCTTCATCCTGCAGCGACGCCATTATTTTGTCCTCACACTTCAATGTCATTTTAAAGTTAACCCAAATATAAGAGAACTGAGTGTTTGTAAAGATTGTTTGGATCAGAAACTGTGTGTCATGTAACTTGCGTGATAACATCATCTTAATGATCAACTTCTATGTCAAATATTGTATAATAAATGACAGGATGAAAACTTTTGGGGGGAGAGGGGGTGGGTTCATGTTTGTGTTCATATTTTTTCTTTCATGATGACAGACATTTTTAATGGTAGCAATTTTGCTGTGGTGATGTGGCGCTCAACATCCACGCAGGCTTTTCACCAAAACCTTTTTAGGCTTCTGGGAAAAGAAAAAAAATAAACGTGAATGACATGACCCAGCAGGAGTTATACAGTATTATCAAGCCAATTTGTCTGCCCATTTGGTAGCTTTCTCTTCTATTTTTCATTTCAGTACGTTCACCCATTATCAAGTGTGTCACTCAAACCCCGGCAACCTTAATACTCACGTGATCAGAAAAGAACATCTTTAACAAGGTTTTTTTTTCCCTCTTAGTCATCGAACATAACAGATAAAACAGTTTGCATGTGTTCTTGAGCAAAAAGGTGAACATCGGTACTGTAATTAGTCACACTAAGATTGAATGAGTATTCAAATAAAATATCCCTTTATTTCATTGCAAATATTCTGTAAAATGGTTGCAACAGCAAAGTATATGATGTGACAAATAAAATAATTCATAAAAATGTGCGCTGCTGACTTACTCCTCTGGAAGAATCAAATTACATGATGGTGTTGTACTTTATGAAAAAGTATCAAATTCAATTATACGTTTACCTACATTGTTTATCCTTTCTAACTTTCTGCAAAGTTGTTATGTACAGTATATATATATATATATATATATATGTGATTCGAACTCAACAACAGTCCCATATATTTATAAATGATCCATAAAACAACAAACCATAAAACAATAAACTCATCTTAGTCCTGTGTACCTCTAACAGTGTCTGGTCTGCAGACCTGAGTCACCGAGCAGGCGCGTGGAGGCGGAGGAGCTCAGAGAGGCCATTTAAAGATTTGAAAACAGATAATAGAATCTTAAAAAGAACTGTATAGGGAGGCAGTAAAGGGATGCCAGAGTAGGAGTTATGTGCTGCCTCTCACTCGTCCCTGTAGAGAGGCGAGCAGCAGCATTTTGGAGCAACTGGAGATGCAACTGGAGGACTGGCTGACTCCAAAGTAAAGTGCGTGACAGTCATCCAGCTGAGATGTGACAAAGGCATGAATTACTGTTTCAAAATGCTGCTGAGAAAGGAGAGGCTTTACTTTCGTCAGCTGCCCAAGATGAAAGAAGCTGCATTCAACAACGGCATCAATTTGCCGGCCCGATTTGAAAACACTGTCCAGTTTAAGACCCAAGTTCATCCGTCCATCCATTTTCCGATCCGCTTTATCCTCACAAGGGTCGCGGGGCGTGCTGGAGCCTATCCCAGCTGTCTTTGGGCAGTAGGTGGGGGACACCCTGAACCGGTTGCCAGCCAATCACAGGGCACACAGAGACA